ATCGTTTACTTTTTATTATTCTTGAAGTGCAAAACCTTCGAGATATTGAATCTAATCATTATGTCTCATAAGGCCACTAATCGACGATCTTGTCTCATTCTTTCCAGATTCTTGTTTTTCTTGATTTTCAGGCAAGATTCTTTTTCTATTCCTCCTATACAAGATTCTTGCCTGAAAAAACTGACCTTGCCTTTCTGACAAGATTCATATAGACCGAATCTTGGCTGGCGAGGCAAGAAGTGTCTCTCCAGGCAAGACTCTTGAGTTCTTGCCTTCTTGTCTGATTCTTGCTTTCCTTGAATTCTTGTCTGATTCTTATTTTTCTTGATATCCTCGTCTGATTCTTTTTTCCTTGGATTCTTGTCTGATTCTTATATCTCTAGCGTCTTGCCTGATTCTTGTCATATTAATAAAGCTTTTTATAAGTTATTATTACTACCTTTTTCTTACTAATTTATTACAAACTTCACGTAAAATATACAAAAAAAACGCAACAAAATATACTCAATGTCATATGAATTTATAATTATAATCATCGTCATCGAATATATAATTATCAACAAGTGTATCATCATCTAATGTACCACCAGCATCTGCACCATCAGTATTTGTATCATCCATAAGTATATCATGAACAAGTATATTATCATTAAAAACTGGATCATTAGCCGCAACACGGTCTTCAAAATTTTCATTAATTTTGGATAAATATTGATTTGATTCTTTCTAGAAAATAAAAACGAACAGTGAAAAAATTTTTACTTTGCAATGACTCAGTTAAAATAAGTCATTTACAATTTGTTCAGTCAGTAAACGAGGCAAAGATAATTGAGTACAATACAGAGCCTAAAACAGGCCATGGGGCCTGCCTGCCTGCCTGCCTGCTTGGGCCTGCCTGTGGCAGGCAGGCTCAGGCCATGATTTTCAAGCCTGGTGTAGGCCAGGCAGGCCAGGCCAAAATCTCACACAGGCCAGGCAGGCCGCCTGTCTACCATAATTTTTCAACTTCCGATAAAAGTTCGATCTTGATCATAAAATGTTGTTAACGATAATTTTATATGAGGATAGTTGATGATGACAATGTCACTTATGATATCAATTCAACAACAACAAACACATTAAAAAATGATGAACTTGAAAGATATTTACGAATGAGCATTGAGGACATGTACAAGTAGTCCAATTGATTACCATTCTGGAGTGACCATCAAACAATTTCCCGGTTTAGCTCTACTGGCCCGTCGTCTCTTTTCTATCCCTATTACATCTGCTGGAGTAGAGCGACAATTTTCATCTGCTGGCTCTACAATAACACAACGTCGTTCTTCACTCGATCCTGACTCTCTAAATGATGTTCTTTTCGTACGATCGATTCAAAAAGTCTTTGATTGAAAACCAGATTTTTTTCTGTAAAAATTAGTATATTTTGTAAGTGTATTCTATATACAAACATTATGTATTAAATCAGCAAACACTTCATCTAATCATGTCATTCTTATTTAAATTTATTTCTTTTTTTTTCTGTGAACGGCTGTTTTGAGGTTTCGTTTAACCTTTTCGTTACGGGGTTTTTGGAAATAGGGAGAAAAGTTTGAGTTTGCTCGTCAAAGTCGAGAATAAGGTATATGCACCCAAGTGAATCAATGCATTGTATCAGGCTTTAACTAGTGCAATTAAATTCTGGAGTAGCAAAGCCGAGTAAATTGACCTAAAGACTCATGAAATTCTTCGCGTAACCGCATGAATAATCTTATGATTCTATATTATAAAACAGATTTTATAACATTGAAGCTCTGGCTTTTCTTAAGACTAGAGCTTCAGCAATACTTGCAACTCTTCAGGATAACAATAGTTCTTGCATTCTGCGCAATTTTACGGATTTCCGTTTTCGTTTCACACGACTTTGAACGATTTTGAGTTTAATAATAATAATAACGTCCCATAGGCTTATCGCCCGTTGGGGCCGACCGCGGTTATTATTTATAGTTTCCACATGCAGCCGGGTTCTTTCGTCTTTTCTTTTTACAGACGGCGGTATCTGCACCCTCTTCCGTCCAACATACTGACCGAAGATGTAGTCAGCACGAATGACTCGTGTGGAACGAGTCATTTGAGACAACTTAGCCGTTAGTGACTTGTCCAAGGTCATTCCATGGGTGATGTTACTGAGGTTTGAACACAATACCTTGCTGGTACGTGCAGAACAACGTAATCATTCAACCATGGCGGCTGATTTTGAGTTTAGAATCTATGAATTCTCATAGACCTCTGAATCCATAATTCTTTGTTTTCAACTAATATGTATGCATATGGATGTCATATAATGATGCTTTGACACTAAAAGCTTGAGAGAAAGAGAAAAATTTCTAGTCTAAGAAAGATAGAAGACTGTAAAAACTATAATCTGCGTAGACGCTCAGTCGACATAAATGTGGATCCCGTAACCAAAGGGCTAATCCTTATACCGTATTGACGCATAAAAGCTATACACAGGCTTCGACAGGCAGGCCAGGTAGGCCAACCGAAATCGACAGGTAGGCAGGCCAGGCCCAGAAAATGAGCGACAGGCACAGGCAGGCTGTAGAAGTTTGAAGCCTGCCACGGGCAGGCCAGGCCTAGAAAAAGTAGGCCTGTTTTATGCTCTGGTACT